GGCAACTACCTTAAGATAGGCTGTCCATGACATCAGTTTGACATCTGAAGTAGCCCTGATTTACACAGCTGCTTTTTCCTCTGTGCATCAGTCTGGATATCCTAAAGAGGACCATGGCCACAGCTAGTTAAGATTCACTCTGCCCCCCCCCCACCTCACCCCACCCCAGTCCCCAGCTCCCTGTAGTTTTTCAGGCCATTGTGAGGATTACTTTACGAAATTTTGAACAGTTGATTTTCTGGGCCCATTCTTAGACCTCCAAAGAAGAAAACAAAGAGACTTGTTAAATACTTTCCCCAAACTTGGATGCATACATCTGAGTTGTGTGACCAAGTGACTGTTGTCTGCTGTCTCATCTCTAGGAGACTAACCTAAGCTTTTGTGCAGGTCTTGGCACAGTGCACTCCTGTGGGGCCAGAGCCCTGTCCTCTGTCAGTGCCTGCAGAGCTGTTAGGCCATGGCCCATTTCTGCCACACACTAGACTTTGGCCTGGAGTGGGTATTAGATTCTTTGGGCTGGCGTTTGGACAACATATCAGGCTCTTTCAAGTTTCTGAAATACACTGAGATCCATTGCTGGGCTCAGAAATGGATCTCATTTCCAGAAGTGTTTCACTTTCCCTTTCCTCACTTGCCCTGCCTGGGAAGCTTGCTCTCCCCACTGGGGAAGAAGGAGTGTGTGATTTGGCTGGTTCTGCTTTCCCTTGAATTCTTCTCTCTTGGTTTGTCATCATTGCCCCATCAGCCTGGAACAGCTGACCCAGGACTTCTTGCTCTGAGCAGAACTGAAACAGACCTTTATGAGGCATATTTTATAGATTGCTTCGTTCTTGGCTTTGGTCTTCCTAACTCTGTTCTTCTAGAGCTAGTCTACTTTTGCATTTATTTTCTTTGCTGAATCCTTTCTTCCATCATTTATAATAACCTTTTAAATTTGAACTCTGAATTTACTTTGATTTCTTTAAATTCTCTCCCCAGTTTTTCATGCTTAGCATCATTCTTTTAGAGGGGTGCAGTCTTTCTTGAGGGTCCAGTCCTCTTGAGTCATCTTGCCTTTTCTCGTCTTAAGAACTTCAGATGGAACGTATCTTTTCTCTGAATGACTTGAATCCGTTTTCGAGTTGTTCTTAGTGAAGCCGTAATCGTTGTTTTGGGCTGAACAGTTTTTGTCTGCAGAGACTACCTTGAGCAGTGCAAGTCTTTCAGCATCTTGGCCCCTGACAGTGTAGTGGTTTTCAACAACTTCGGGCTCTCTTAAGAGTACATTACATTAGGAAATGGGCGGGGTTGTGTCGCATGCCTGGTATCTCTGTAATGGTCAGGTTGGGGTGCTGTAGTGCAAAGTCCTGCCTATATGCCAGCAACACCCTGTTGAGAAATGCTGTCCTGAAGATTATTGGGCTGCTTATTTGTTAGATTGTCTTGGGTTTCTCTCACTTCCACCTTATAATCAGTTCTTCCTTGTTGGTTTGGTTAGAATTATGCAAAGAAGGTTGCCTCTTTGGTCTTTGATAAGCTTAACTTGACAATATAGTGATATTTTTGCTTTGGAGTTCCTGAGCCTCCCAGCCTTTTCTGGCCAGGGGTTGTGTTGTGACCTCCTCTCATATCACAGCTCTTATCTTTGTTTCTTAGTTCTCTTGGTGTCCTCCCTGCACCCCACTACCTTTTTATTGAGCAAGATGTAATTTTTCACTGCCATCTTACAGTTGAGTCCCATCTTGTCATATTTTTATAATTCTTTTAAAATTACCTTTTTGGGCCTCCCTGGTTGTGCAAGGGGTTAAGCACTGCACTATGAAGCAATCCACAGCCTCTACAGCATGAGTTCCATCACCAGCCGGCCAGGGAGCAACCCACATGGCACAGCAGACCTCTCCTGTCACGCCCGCTGTTCCCCTCAGCAGTGTATGTCAGTCAGTCTGCCCGTTCTGTTCCCCGCTCTGTCTCTGGTGAATCCTCTCACCCACCCGCATCTCTGGCCTGTACCAGCCCTTGTATGCATGAATAAATAAATCTTTAAAAAATAAAATAAAATTACCTTCTTGTGTTTATTTTGCATTTATTCTGTCATGTGAGTTTCTGAAGCCATAGAGTATATTTACAAGTTATTTAAAAATTTATTTCCTCCCATGGGTATTGAAAATATTCTTCTCTGTGTTTCCTTTTCAATTGTCTAAGTCCAGAGTTCTGTCTGAAATACTTTTTCCTGCCTGATAGTTTGGGTAGGACTTAGCCCTTAGGGACCATGCTATCTTCTGTCCCTAGTCAAGAATCTTACTCCAGTACCTTGAGCCAAGGATCAGAAAATCAAAATGGGAGAGCCCTTCCCATCCCAAAGCCTTTTTTTCCAACCTCAAGCCCCAGCTTTCCATCCATTCACTGACCTGGTCATTGAACACAAGTGTTTGACCACTACCACGAACTTCTCTCTGCCCTCTCACCTGCTCATTGGAGCTTCCACTCTTTTGGGAGTGAGCCAGAATGGTTGCATAAGTATCAGACCACTCCATTTTTCTGAATCTGCCCAAGTGTCATAATCCCCAGGCTAGCATTTCTTTCTTTTTTAAAATTAGAGTAGTGTAGATTGCTTGACTAATTGTTGAAATTCTTGAGATGAACTGGATGTTGCAACAGCTGCCTTATTGGGTTTAGGTGTTGTTCCTTCTCATAAGCCATGCTTGAATCTGCATTATACAAATTTTTGGTGCCTCATTTGACCAGTCCTGGTGATATTTCATCTTTCAGCTTTGGCACTCCGCTAACTTCCAAAGGTGGCAGGCCTTAGAGCCACAGTAGTGCTACACTGTGTGAGTCTTATTATTGTCACTTTCCAGTTGAAGATACTCACTCCCTTCTTCATCTTGTTTCTGAGGTAAAGACCAAAGAATGCAAGAGTCCCAGGCAAGCATTTCCTATGAGTGCCAGGCATTAGCAGGAGGACCAGATACAAGGTAGCAGGTTAAAGTGGTCATTAGGTTCTATGCTTTCCCTCCTGAAGGGTTAGAAAGAGGGGCCAGGTACTCCTCCCCCACTGCATGAGGCCCAGCATTGCTCCTCATAAAAGCTGAGAGTATTGCTTAGAAATGGATTAATCTCAGTGGTTTTCCTCTCACTGTACAGCTTGTTAAAAACCCCACTTCAGGGCCTCCATGGTGGCGCAGGGTGTTAGGACGCAACCGATGAAGCCATCCGCAGCCACTGCAGCACTAGTTCGATCCCCGACCAAGGAGCTCCCCACATGGCGCAGCAGACCTCTCCTGACTTGCCCACTGCTTCCCTCAGCAGTGTATTTCAATCTGCCTGCTCTGTTCTCCATTCTGTCTCTGGTGAATCCTCTCACCCCCACCCCCACCCCACACCTCTGGCCTGTACCCGGTTCTTGTATGCATAAATAAATAAATCTTTAAAAAAAAACAAAACAAAACCCAGTTCAGCCTCCAGTGACCACTGGTTGGACTAGAATTTCTAGGGTTGGGGCTCAGGCTCAGATGACTGTGGTGGCCAACTAAGGTTGACAAGCAATAGCATCTAAGGGAAGAAACTTGGTCTTCTCACCTGCTATGAAGTGCCACTGTGACCCAACTACCTCTTCCACAAAGTCATTTGATGGGCTGTCTCCTTGGCCCTCTCTATATAAGGCATAGAGTATGTGCAGAGTGGCACATCCTCTAACCTAGGACTTGTAACAGTGTCTCTAGCTTCCCCCTTCCTTGGGAATTGTTTCTTTCCATACCTTTGTGTTTTCCAGTGTACCTTGTATACTGTCAGCTGTGTGATGTGAATGTGGAGCATGGAGGATCCTTTGGCCCTGAAGTGGGAACTGACCAGAGCACCGGTACCATTGTGAGCTGCAGCACAATGGAGGGACCTCCCAGTTCTAGAGGGGTGGGTAGGCTGGACCAGCGAGGTAAACAGGCCAGTGAGCAAGCTGTCCTGCCTGCATAACAGAAGAGACGGGGCTCAGCTAAGCCGTACTCTGGGATTGCCTGAGAGAAGGTACCCAAGAAATGTGGAAGAAGCGATTGTGCCGTGGACAAGGGGCTAATTTGGGGTGTTGGGGCATTGTGGGAGAGCACATCCCATCAGGTGTCTGAGAATGGAGGGAAAATGTTTAACTTGGGTTGTAACCTGTCCGACTTTCACTTGAGTTGTCACAAAGTCATGGGAAATAATCAGGTTGATGGCAGTTGAAAAACAAGTAACAGCAGTTCCAGACTAAAGACATCTGAGGCAGTGCCCTGAAGTAGTCCTGGTGGTTGTGTTTTCTGGATGACATGGCGTTTGCTGCATTGACTATTTGTGTAATAATCATTCATACTTGGGGGTTCTATTGCCTATGTGGTTTCCCTTTCATTGCCTACAACTCTGGGTCTTACTACCCATGTTTTGCAGCTGAGGAAACTGGGGCTCAGTGAAGGTTTCCTATCTCCCTTCCCATCCCAGACTGGATAGTTGTCTTTGCTGTGTACCCATTCTGAGGTACAGTCCTTTTGAAAATGCATTTATAGGGTTAATAGAAAACTTTGGGTATATGTGTGCTTTGTCTCCCCAGTTTCATTCCTCGTTACATCCTCAGTACCCAAACACATAAGTCAGCGCTTGATAATTTCAGTTGAAAGAAGTCAGGTCTGTTGCACTTTCCTTGCCCTCCTTGATGCGTGGCTGTCCTGTGTTGGAACCAAGGGTATTTAAACAGAGGTGTGTTAACCAGCCTGAAGAGGAGGTGGTGTGTCCACAGAAGCACAGTTATTTATACCACTGAGTTCTGTGAGTTCACTAAGGTGGGGGCTTGTCTTGATCTGGGGCATGGGTAAAGGGGACCACTGTGACTCCAGGCTCCTTAGCCAGACCACAAGTGGTCTAGCACACTCTGAAATTTTGTCAAATTTTGTCACCAGTGGTGTCGTCACTCGATTTAATTTGAGGGAGTCAGGAGGGATCTTAATATGTGGTGTTTTCTCCTATTTGACACCCCTTTATGCTTTGTTAATCAACAGGAGCTTGAAGAAATCCGCAAATGTGGAATGAAAAACTTCCGTAACATCCAGGTTGATGAAGCTAATTTATTGACTTGGCAAGGGCTTATTGTTCCTGTGAGTATTGAACGCTTCCACTTCTTATCAGATTATTCTTTAAGGTGATGTGTGTGCTATTGGGCTTATCTCTGTTCCCACGTAGCTTCTTAGTATAGGCAGCCAGCAGATGCACAGAGATTGGCTGCCACTCTAGGGTAATAAGGTAGGGACCATAGCCTTAGAATCCTGTCTTTGTACTGGTTTTGTAACATTCTGGGGGGCCCAAGCATTTCAGGTCTCTGGTTATCAACCTGGGGAAGAAATGTGTGTCTGTGCTCCTATTCTTCCCTCTGACTCCCTGGCTTCTCTGCCTGGCCTCATTTGTCCAGGCAGGGGCCACCTTCTCTGCTCTCTCTTGGGAGATGGCTAGTGCCCCTATCTAAATCTTCTTCTTGCTTTCCCACCTGGTTTTGCATCTGTGTATCTAACCTTCAGAGCACCTGGGTTCCAGGTTTTATTCCTGGAACCTTCCAGTATGTGTCTCCCATTCATCTCAAACCTTGCCTAATGACCCACCTGTTCCCGAACCTAGTTATCTTTTTCTGGGTTTTCTGCCTCCAGTGTCTGGCTTCCCCTCCCCCCACCCCACCTCCAATGCCCCTGCATGTGACTCCTCCACTTGTTTCACAGACTTCTGCTTTCACTTGGGCTCAGGTCTTCTCCTAACAATGGTTTTCTATGGCCTCACTGCCCTCTTCATTTAGTGTCTGCTATTTCTTCATCTTTTCATCTCCTCACTCTTTAGAGACCTGTCCTGTCCTTAACAGCAATTTGCAGTCCCAGTTTCTCCTGCTCTCCTGAAACCTTTTCATACCAAGCACACGGATTTCCCTTAGTCCTCACACCTCTGACTTGGCAACCCTGGAAATTCTTTGCTTCCCAAACCTTTGGAGCCTTCGTCCCAACCTCCAGTTCTGTAACCACTGTGCCACTCACTTCTGTCTTCTTGTTGCTTCCTCTTAACTCTTGGGCATGGATCTTGCTAGTCTCTTGCCTTTCTCTTATTCTCTTTTGTTTCTTGGGGACCCTGCTTCTTCCAACATCATAGATTACTAGGTTACTGCTGTACATGAAGGAGTCTCATCTCTGCCTCCATTCGTACCTTTTTCCTGGAGCCCCACGTCAGCTTCACTTGGATATTTTGTGTTTTCCACTTCCTGGCATACACCGGTACATCCCGTAGGAGTGTTCCCCTTCCTTCCAATTCTTCTGCATCTACTCACCTCTTTTCATCCCCACTTCCCTTTTGAGCCTCAGATCCTTTCCTGTGCTTGACCCTTATATGTTGTATAAAATCTCTTATAGGTATATTGGCTACTTTGTTGAAGTGGAACATGGAGTATGCTTTCTTTACAAGCTTTTTGATGGGTTATGGGGTCATGCCTTTTTTAAAAGTCCATGGAAATTTGAACAACAAATGATGGATTTGTAGTGTATTTTCATATTCATTTGGATAAAACTTAGTGATGTGTCAGTACACACTCAAAATTTTTAAATCTGGTTTTGGAGATGAGTTCTTTAGATTTCTCAAGGCTTGGAGCTGGTAGGACTTGGGCCAGGTGTGGGTGGTGTTCCCTGGCTGGGGACAGCTGGTCAGGCTTGGGCAGTGTATCCTTGTGAACTCGCATCATGAGAAATTGTACACCATTCCAACACCTGTCAAGAAGACTCTTCCCCAAGCATACACTAAGGCATCTCTGGTTTCATCTGGGGGGAGACTGAAATGGACTGTGGTCTCTCACTGAGTCTACGGTAGAGACTGACTGGTAGAATCCCAGTATGTTGGGCTGAGGCTTTGGGGAATATCCAAGGGAAAACTTTGCTTTCCATAGGAGCTGGGTCAGCATGGGAAATCTTTACCCAAACTCACCTGGTGTGCATCTAACTGGGGTGAAAGCAGAACCAGGGTGATAAAGGTATGGTGGTCTAGAAAAGTGCCATTACAACAGGGTTCTTGTTCTCAGGGAGCAGCTTAGTAAAAATGCCCTAACTAGTTCAGAAAGGGGCAGGCCCAGACTCCCAGGGAAGAAGGTGGGAGGTAAGACTAGAGAGGCGTTTCCTAGAGAAACTTCGTTGTTACCATGGAAATTCAGCTTTATTCCCTTTAAACACTTGTTTCTATATGAAATTTTTTATTTAAAATTCAGATATGAAGTGTAACGAAGAAAGTTTCACCCATAATTCCATGACGAAAAAATTCAGTAAGTTTTGGGATACCTTCCCTTCAGGAACTAGGGGCATGGTGTAAGCATTCCTGAAGGCCTGTAATCATTGGCATATTTCTCTCAACTTTGGTAGATGCAATTTTTAGTAGACAATTTGATAATTTCACAGTTATTTAGTAATCACCTTGAAACTTAAGGAAATAAATTTTTTTTGAAGATTTATTTATGCATACAAGAATTGGGGTACAGACCAGATGTGCTGGGGGTGAGAGGATTCACCAGAGACAGAGTGGGTAACAGAACAGGCAGACTGACTGAAATACACTACTGAGGGGAGCAGCGGGTGAGGCAGGAGAGGTCTGCTGCATCTCATGTGGGTAGCTCCCTAGCCGGGGATCAAACTCGTGCTACAGTGGCTGCGGATAGCTTCATAGTGCTGCAGCTTAACCCCTTGTGCCACCAGGGAGGCCCCTCAGGAAATAAATTTTAATAATTACATAAGATACTATAATGTTTATATAATTTATTTAATCATTCTTTTAATTTAGGCCTTTTAGATTATTGTTTTTCTTTTTATTTATTTATACAAGCACTGGGTACAGTCAGAAGTGCAGGAGGGTGAGAGAATTCACCAGAGCGGGGAGCAGAGCCGGCAGAGTGACGGAATACACTGCTGAGGGGAGCAGCGGGCGGCTGGAGAGGTCTGTCACGCCATGTGGGACCCTCTCTGGCGGCCAGGGATTGAACCGATGCTGCAGAGGCTCCGGGCAGCTTCGCAGCCCAGCGCTCAACCGCTGTGCCACCGGGGAGGCCCGATTATTGTTTTTCTATTTTAAAAACAGTTCATCTGTGAACATCTTTGAGAAAATCTTAGTGTGATCATTTATTTTAGATTCTAAGATTTAGTAATCTGTGTCTTCTATTTAATTAGAGTCTTATACATAAAGAAGGGAACACCTATATCCAAATTATTTTCCAGAAGATTGTGCCAATTTACACTCCTGTGCACAGTGTTTGCACAGTTGCCTGTACATGTTCCATAGAGTCATGGAAGTTCCTCAGCATTTTTAAAGTGGGTTTTGAGTGGCAGGTACTTCAGTGCCCAGATTGTGGGGTCCCACTCAGCCCTCTCTGCCTCCCCTGCTGGTTGGGTGATCTTTGGCAAGTTATGCAGGTTGTCCCAGTATCCTTAACTCTAAAAGTAACACACCTCTTTGGCTGTTGTAAAAGTTCAATAAGTGCACTTATGTGAAGTGTGCAACCTCATTCTTGTCATTAAGCTTTTGTAGCAGGGCCTCCCTGGTGGCACAGGCGATAGAGCGCCACACTGTGAAGCTGTCCGCAGCCTCTGCAGCTCCAGTTCAGTCCCAGCCGGCCAGCGAGAATCCCATATGGTGAGGCAGACCTCTACTGACTCGCCCGCTGCTCCCCTCAGTAGTGTATTTCATCACTCTGCCTGTTCTGTTTCCTGCTCTGTCTCTGGTGAATCCTCTCACCCTCCCGCGCATATGGCCTGCACCCTGGTTCTTGTATAAATAAATAAATCTTTTAAAAAATCAATAAATCTTTGGGGGGAAAAAAAGGCTTTTGTAGCACATCCATGGAAAGCTATTTGGCAGTAGGTAATAAAGAACCCATGAAAACAAACATACAGACAGGTAATTGCTGCCAATTTGGTGCAAATGTTCCCAATTTGTTTTGTGTCTTAGTCCATTGTGTGCTGCTGTATTAGTGGTAAATTTATAAACAACAGAAAGTTATTTTTAATGGTTCTGGGGGAGTTGAGGTCAGGATGCTCTTAGGATGAGGGCCCTCTTCTGGGTCACAGATGCTTTGTATCCAGCTAGCTGAGAGGTCTAGCTTTCTGGGCCCTCTTTTATAGCCACTATTCCTTTCACAAGGGCTCTGCTCTAATGATCTAATAACCTCCCTAAGGTCCATTTATCCATTTCTTAATATAACTGTTAATAGCACTCTCCTATTACCATCCTAATATTCTCTTAATACCAACTCCCTAGGCATTAAGTTTTCAACATGATTTGGGAGAGTGAGGAGTACACATTAAGGCCACAGTAATTTGCATTTTCTGTCATGTTACTTTAACTAAAGATTTTTATTTTTCATTTACTTATTTTCTATTTCATAATCTGTTATTTGTTAGGGTTTTAGGTTTTTGTTATTGGATTATAGGAATTGAATATTGAGCTATGTTAATCCTTTGGGGAAATATATTTCGGCTTACTATTTTCTTTTTAAATTTCATTTATTCAAAATTTTCTAATTTGGGGCCTCCCTGGTGGCGCAAGGGGTTAAGATGCAACCTGTGAAGCTGTCTGCAGCCACTGAAGCACAAGTTCGATCCCCAGCAAGGGAGCTACCTACATGTCACAGCAGACCTCTCCTGACTCGCCCACTGCTCCCCTCAGCAGTGTATTTCAGTCAATCTGCCTGTTGTGTTCCCTGCTTTGTCTCTGGTGAATCCTCTCCCACCCCATACCTCTGGCCTGTACCCTGATTCTTGTATACATAATTAAATAAATCTTTGAAAAAATTTCCTTAATTTGATCTCTTTTTAATTAAAAAGACCTTTTTTTGGGGTGAAGATTTATTTTTGCATACAAGAACTGGGGTATAGTTGGAGGTTTGGGTGGGGCGGGGTGAGAGGATTTACCAGAGACCGTGGGGAGCAGAACAGGTGGATTAACTGAAATACACTGTTGAGGGGAGCAGTGAGTCAGGAGAGGTCTGCTGCACCATGCGGGTAGCTCGCTGGCTGGGGATGAAACTCATGCTGCAGTGGCTGTGGATAGCTTTATAGGTTGCATTTTAACCTCTTGCGCCACCAAGGAGGCC